GGAGGGGCGGTTCTTGGGGTGGCGGGTGGGGCTGCGGGGAGGATGCGGCGGCCCAGCCCGGAATCCCGGGGGACCGTTGCCCTGCCACTGCCTCCGGCCACTGGGCCGGTGCCTGATTTTAGACGCGGCGACCCGGGCACCTGCTGCCGCGGCCCTCATCCTCGCCCATCGTTGGGCAGGCTGCGGCCCTGGCGATTCAGAGCGTCTGTCATGGGAACGGGGGAGGGGAGGGGGCGGTGTCCAGGGACGGTGCCCATTTCCCAGGGGCGGCCCCGGACGCGTCGCCTGCGGGACCTGAGCCGAGGAGCCCCCGCTTTGTCCTTCTCCCAAGGCTCTCCTGCCGCGCAGCGGCGTTTTCCTCCGGTAACGGCCAGAATGAGCGGTGAAGGCTGCTCTTTATCCTGCATTGCCAAGTGAAACTTGTCATTTTAGAAACGTATACCGAAAATTGGCGCATCTCCTGTGCTTCTCTAGGGTGTATAAGGAAACTGGGCCGGTCACTGTCAGGATTGTCCTGTCGGTAGGTCGGGAGGAGAAGAAATGGGAGAGAAATTTACCCTCCCAAAGATTTTCCTACCAAAGTGCTTTTCGAACTGCCTCTTAGGTGGTGGTTTTTCTTTTTCTGGAACCAAGTAAAAACTGCAGGTAAAAATCAGGAGGAAGGTCTCTCAAGACTTCTGGCCAGGCAGCCTTTTTAACGTTTTCGGAACGGGAACTGGTAGGAACGAAAGACTGGAATTTGAGAAGAAAAGGTTTTGGTGTGGATTGGTGATGAGTGCTTTACTTTTCAATGATGTTTTAATAATAATGCTTTATTTTTTAATGGTATTTTTGAAAATGGCTACTAAAATGTTCTTTTGAAAGCCTTGCTCTTTCACACCCTCCCCCAGAAGCCTTTAAAACGTCTGATTGGAAACATTTGTAGAGAGACGGATTTGGTAGCACATTGATACATAAAATTTCTAAAATACGTAAAACCAAAATGAAGAAGATAAACTTTCCCCATTCAAGTAATCATTGTGAATATGGTTACACTGAGGATAACACCTCCAGTCTTCTATGCAGAGATGAATGCATGAATTTTTCTAAAGAGGATTTTCTTTGGTAACCATTTTTTTTCTGACTAGATAGCATGCCATTATATGGCTGCAGTAATTTATTTAGTTGATTATTCCCAGTTTTTCACTACTTAAACACATTGTTGGAGAAATGTAAAATCTGCACACCCATCATTATTTCCTTAGTATACATTCCTAAATGATAAAATTGTTGGGTTTTTTTATGTGAATTGCTCAATTTCCCTCTGGAAAGGATATGCTGTTTTGCACTCCCACCAACAATCTGTGAGGGTCCTTTTCCACACCCTAGCAAAAGGCAACATTTAAAGGATTTCTGTAGGAACATTTTGGGGCCATTTATGTTCTCCAACCATATACAGGTATCCTTCTGTAGCTGTCGCTTTTTTTTCTTATAATTTGATGGCAGTTCGGTTTCTCATCTTCTAGTTTACCTTAGTAAAGAAGGGTTATCTAGGTGAAGCAAAGACATTATAAAGTGAAGAGATTTGTTTCAAGTCAAGACTTCCTTGAATTCTGGTATATTTGATTACCCTGTACAACTCACTTAGCTTTTCTAAGGGACTGTTTCCTCAACTCTGAGTTAGAGATTATAGTGCATTTGCCTTACCTTTCTTACAGGATGGTGGTAAGGGTCAAATGAAACATTTATGGATAGTACATTTAAACAGACTTTGTCTCATTGCTAATTATTGCCATCTTGTAAAAATTTCAGACTAGAAAAGCATCTTGATTTTTTATGTAAATTTGTGAATTAAAAAAACTCTTCTTTGATACCCTTTACCTTCACTCTTTCGCTCCTTAAATTTGAAGTTTTATACTGCTGCCCTAGATTATATTCAAAATGATATCAGAGTTACGAAATTAGGTGAATGAATGGATCTACAAATGTTCAAGGAAAAAATATTTAAAAGCACTATCTATATATAAAGCTGTGGAGACAGATAAAAAGCTAAATAAAACACAGTCCTTGGGATCATGATAAATAAAACATAGTCTTTGTGCCCTACAGGCTACAGAATGTCCAGGCAGCTAGAGGGCATAAAAGCTGCTTTCCAAATTTAGATGACAATTTTAGCTGTGATGCAGGATGTCAACTATTCTCAAGTGCGCTAAAGTCCAATTCTGCTGACTGAGCATCTGTGCAAATGACCAGGCAGTCTCTTCGGAGTCATCTTGTTGAAGGTAGGAGTTGCAAGGTGGGGAAGTGTTAGTATTGGAGTCCGAAAACCTGGATTCTGGTTTTACGTCCTTCTCTTGGGGCAGGTTGGTTAACCTTTTTGAGGCTGGGTTTCTTCACCTTTGAAATGGAGGTAATTTCAGCTTCCTCCAAGGCTTGTGAGGATTAAATGAGATAGTATTTCTAAGACGCTTAGTGAGCTAGGAAGTACTGGTGATTCTTATCCACTGAAGACTGAGTTTATCCAGTAAAGAAACTAGATCTCTTCCAACTTTGTTTGCCTTGCCCCTAGCAATCAGCATAAAATATGGCTGCTGGTAAAAATTCACTTTGGACCACTGAAGAAGGTAATATGTAAATGTGGAATATTGGGAGAAATTAACTACATAATTTGGAGTTGATATGAAAGAATTAAAGGATACATTGAACTAATTGGATCTAGACTTATCCCTACTGTGACTTTCATTTTACATTATATCCCCAATGCCATTCGACATAGTTTCTCCTCATCAACTGTAAACCTGCTCGAGTTGCTTCCATTTTGAAACCTCCTCCCTAGACCCCTGTCACCCAGTTGCAACCCAGTTTCCCTCCTCCCTTCCAGCCACAATGTTAGAAAGGGTTGTTAGTAATTGGCTTCTAAGCTTCCTTACCTTCCATTTAGTCCTCAAGCCATGTATTCACAGTTTTCATTCCTTTTATTGGATCTCTATGCAGCTTTTGCCATCAGAGTCTCCTTTCTTGAAACACCCTTCCGTGCTCCAGGATTCCCTTCTTCTTCAGAGGATGTTTCTTCTCAGTCTCCTTGACTGGTTCATCTTCCTTGAAAGGTGTATGTTCTTGTAGGCTTGATCCTTCTCTGATATACCAGCTCTGGAATAATTTACAGAGCATTGAGGCAGTCTGATGTTTGAAGGTTTGGTAGAATTCCCCCTGTGAAGCTACCTGGGCCTGATGCTTTTTCATGGAATGTTTCCTTAATAACTTTCTCTGTTTCTTCTATTGAAATTGGTCTGTTTAAACTTTTTAATATGGTCAGTTTTAGCAATCTCTATTTTTGTAGTAAATTATCCCTTTCATCTGGGCTTTCAAATTTATTGGCTAGAGGGCTACAAAGTAATCTCTTATGATTTTAAATTTTTCTTCTATTTCAATGGTTATCTCCCCTTTGCTCTTTCTTATTTTGTGTATTTGTGCTCTGTCTTTTTCCTTAGTCAGGGTATATACATTGTTTAGTGGTTTATCCATTTTAATTTTTCCAAAAAGTAGAATTTTGAATTATTACTTAGATCTAATTTTCTATTCTCTTCCTCTATTTTTATCTTTATTATTTCCTTCCTTGTGCTTGTATTTGGTTTACTTTTTTATTTTTTAGGCTTTTTTACCTTGGAAATAAATTCATTTATTTTTAGTCTTTCATGTTTATTGATAAGTATGTTTAGTGCAGTGGATTTTCCTTTGATCACTGCTTTAAATGCATTCCATGGAATCTGATATGTAGTGCTTTTATTGTCATTATTTCTTTAAAAATCTATATTAGACTACCCAGGAATTGTTTAATAGGGGTTTTAAAATTTCTAGGTGGAAAGGTCTTTGTGTTTTTAGTTTTTATTAGTGATTTCTAGTTTTATTGGATTATGATCAGAGAGTATGTTTATAATATTCCTATTTTATGGAGGTTACTGATGTTTTCTTTGTGACCAATATATGATTATTTTTGGTGAATATGGTGTGGGCACTTCAGAAGAATATGTATTCTCTAGTATCAGAGTGTAGAGTTTGATAAATATCCTTAAGAATTGTTGATTATGGTATTTAGGTCTTCTGTCTCCTTATTTTTGGTTTACCTGATCTGTCTACTATGCCACTGAGAGTGGTATACTGGAGTCTCCTTTTAGTGTTTCTATGTCTCCTTGCATCTCTTGTAGTTTTTATTTCATAAAGGTGGTTGCTATGTTATATTCATGTAAATATGTATATTTTTATTCTCTCTTCATTGAGGATTGTGACTTTTAGCATTAAAAAGTGTCTTTCTTTGGCATGATGAATGCTTTGGGGCATGAATTCTGCTTTGCCTAATTCCAGGTTTGCCACCCCTGCTCTCTTTTTGTTTCCATTTGCCTGGCCAGTGGCCATCCTTTTATTTTTAACCTTTCACAGTCACTTTGTTTTAGGTGTATCTTTCATACAACTCCTTGAGTTTTGTTTTGTGAGCCAAATTAAACTTTTTTATTTTGGTGAGTTAAGCCCATTCACGTTTATTATTAGGGCTGATATGTTTGGCCTATCATAATATTTTATAATTATATGTATTTTGTTTGTTTGCTGTTTCTTTTTGCTATGAAGTATAGTTTTTGCTCTTTTGTTTTAGAAAGTTGGGAGGTATTTAGGAAGGTTTTTATTTTTTGCTAATGGTTAACCTTTGTACTAACAACTTTTTAAATGCCCTTACTCCCCTGTTTATTTATGTAACCTCTTTTGTGTGTGTCAGAGAAATAGATTGTATATGTGAAATCAAAGTAGAATAATGATAGGCAACTGTGGGGTTCTGTATGCACTGCCAGCTCCTCCCTAATGCAGACTGGTGATGGCACCTAGCCCTGTGATCGAGAGAATAAGCCATGCTTTGCTCTCCTGAGGTCTGGCTTCCTCTGATCTGCTGGTCTCCCTCTTGTTCTCCGGGCTCTAACTTGGTCAAGTTCTGTGCTGCAAGTGTGGCTCCTTTGTTACGAAGGCTTTCCTAGACAATTCTTTATATTTGTAAATGCTGAGTTCGTGCTTAGTATGGAATTTCTGTCATTTGATTTTTTTTGTAACAACTTTGCTGAGATATAGTTAACGTATCACACAATTCGCCCATTTAAAAGCCTACAATTCAGTGTTTTTTTTAATATATTCACAGAGTTGTACGACCATCATCACAGTCTAGTTTTAGTACACATTCATCACCCCAAACAGAAGCCATGTGCCCATTCCCTCTGGCGCCCACCCCTGCAACACCACACTGGGCTACCACCAGTCTACTTTCTGTTTCTATAGATTTGCCTATTCTGGAATTTTCATGTAACTAGAATATATAATATATGGTCTTCTGTGACTGCTTTTTTCCCTTTGCATAATGATTTCAAGGTTCGTCCCTGTTTGACTGGGTGTCAGTACTTTATTCATTTTTATGGCCAAATAATACACTGTTGTATAGCTAGACCACATTTGTTCATTCGTCTCTCAATGAACATTTGAGTTGTTTCTACATTTTGGCTATTATGAATAATGCTATCATGAACACTTGTGTACAAGTTTTTATGTGAACATATATTTTAATTTCTTTAAAGTATATACCTAGGACTAGGGTTGCTGGGTCATATGGTAACTCTGTGTTCAATTTTTTAAGGAACTGCAAACTGTTTCTAAAGTGGCTACATCATTTCATTTGAACTTATTTTCCCTTGGGCACCTTGTAATGTATCCTTCACTTCTGAGATAATTTAGTCTTTTTCTCAGACTTTAATTCATTTTTTTCCTGTCATTTTTCTCTGTTTTTTTGGTCTGTTTCCATTCTTAGTTTTTAAATTTCTGATTCAAGCTGAGGGTTTTTTTTTTAAATCTTAAATGCTTTGGGGTATATTTAATTTTGTTTGGGGTATAAAGTTAGAGTTTTCTTCTGCTTCATGGGTTTTTGGGGAGGAATTTTCCTCAGCTGAGAAATTTTCTTTTTCTGCTTTCTTATAAACACATGGGGATCATAAGACTTTACAATTTTTGCAAATCTCCTGAGTATGAAATGGTATCTCCTTGTTTTAATTTTATCTTCCTGATTAGGTAAGGTTGAGCATCTTTTTGTATGTTTATTGGATATTTATATTTCCTCTTTGTTGAAAACTCTAAGGATAGAGCTGCCATTTATTAAGGTGGGGAGACTAGGAGGAGTAGATGTTGGTGAAGGTCAGGAGTTTGCTATTGGACATGTTTACAGCATCCATTAGGCTGTTGGATATGGAAGACTACAACACAGAGGATGGATGAGGGCCAGAGATGTCATTTTGGGGGTTGTTAGTTTATAGAGAGTATTTAAAGCGATGAGACTGAATGAGAGTGTAGACTGGGAAGAGAGTGTAGACAATGAGAAGTCTAAAGACTGAAGTCACTATTTAAAGGAAGACTGGGTTCACTACTTAGGGGTCAAGGTGTTGAGGAGGGAGATGAGGAGAAACCAGCAAAGGAGACTGAAGGAATTGTTAGAGGTAGGAGGAAAACCAGAAAAATGTAGTATTCTGGAATCCAAGTGAAGAAAATGTTATTTGGGAGGAGATATGAAGGACGACCATCAAGTGCTGCTGGTGGATCCAGGGGAAGGAGGGAGAAGAACCACTGGATTTAGTAACATAGATTTCATCATCAGTCATAACTATAGAGCAGTTTGGTGCGGTGGTGGAGTGGAAAGCTAGAGTGGCCAGGGGCCAAGCTAGAGTTAGAATGGGAGGAGAAGGATCAGAGAGAACGTCTGTGGTATTCAGGCAGCCCTTTGCGGAATTTGGTTGTAAATGAGGAGAGAGAGTGGTAGCCCAGGGGATGTGGTTCCAGAGAGCTAGGGGAATTATTAGAGGTAGTATGGTTGAGGGGAAGGCCCTAATGGAGAGGGGAAAGTGGTGTTGTGGGAGGAAGAGGAGAATTGCAGCAGCTGGGTCTTTCAGCTGGGTGAGGGAATGTGTCCAGTGCTTTCCTCTTTGGCACCAGCATCCCCTTCAGCATCCTCCTGGGAGTCGATGCCCCTGCTCTCCAGTCATCTGTGTTCAAGGGCCCATGAGTTCATTCACTGCCTCCACACAGTTCACTCTGAACTGGCAGTATAAATGAATTTATCTTCTGTTACTGACATCTCCTTCTCCCCAGTCACAAACCCTACTGTTTTTTTTTCTCTCTGTGTCCTAAAGCTCCCTTTGATTAACTTGGCTACTCATAAGTAAGTTAGTTTAAATCAGAGATCGGCAGTCTTTTTTGTAAAGGACCAGGTAATATTTTAGACTTTGTGGGCTACGTACAATCTCCGTTGCATATTCTTCTTTTTTTTTTTAACAACCCTTTAAAAACGTAAAAACCAGCTTAGCTCAGACTCTAGGGTTTAAATTAACTCTCCTCTCTTATCTATTAAGCCTCTGAGCCAGCACTTTTCATTACTAACTGATGTACACAAAAAAGTAAATGCAAACAAAGTAACTTTAAAAAAACAGCTTTACTGTGATAGAATTTACACGTTTAAAATGTGCAGTTCAGTGATTTTTGGTGTGTTTGCAGAATTGTGCAGCCATCTCCATAATATCTGATCTAATGTTAGAGCATATGCATTACGCCAAAGCTAACTTTTTACCACTTTGGGGTGTAATTTATATGCAGTAAAATTCACCTATTTTTGAGTGAATAGTTTGAATGTTAATGAAGCTAATTTTAATATTAGCAGAGGAAAATATTCTAAGTAATAATTTTTTTTATCACCACATAACCGGTAAATCTCACTTGTAAACATTTTCTCCCAAGTGACCTTCACCTTTCCCTTGAGACCAGTAGTTCTCTAGTCCCTGGACCAGCAGCATCTGCATCACCTGGGAACTTGCTAGAAGTGGGGTCCACCCCAGAGTAGGGCCCAGCATTCTGTGTTCTAACCAGCCTTTCAGGTAATTCTGACACACTCTAAAGCTGGAGAACCACCGCTCTAAGGTGTCTCCTTGAGTAGAATTGCTGGTTTGGAAATGAGCATGTTCAAATGTGACGGGTACTGCCAGCGCCGTCCACACTGGTCACTCTCGTGTGTACTCACCTGCTCAGCAGCGTGCAAGAGTCCCTGTGCCACAGCCTCGCCTGCACTCTGGAATAGGCGCCCCTTCCTTCCTTCCTTCCTTCCTTCCTTCTTTCTTTCTTTCTTTCTTTCTTTCTTTCTTTCTTTCTTTCTTTCTTTCTTTCTTTCTTGTCAGTCTGATAGGTGTGGAATGGCTATGATCTAAATTGGTGTTTACTTGATTACTAATGAGGTTGAACATCTCAGATGTCCATAGGCCACTTGAGTTTTGTGTTCTGTGATAGGCTGTTTGGAGTCTTGTGCTTCTTGAAATAAATATAATTATGTAAACAAATAATTGCAGTGTATTGAAATAATTGCAGGAGAAACTCAGAATTCCCCGGAAGAAAGAAACTCTGGGTAAAAGAAAAAAGAAAGCAAGGAAAGAATTTCAGAGGAGATTATGGCCAGACAGTCCTGAAAGAATAGGAGTTTGTCAGGCAGAGTGCGGGAGGGCCGTCTATGTGGTACCAACAGAATGACCTGATCAGGGAAAAGCAAGTAGTGTGCTGTGCTGGGCTGATGGGGTATGTGGAGGAAAAGACATACAGAAGGCTAGGAGAAAAGTAAGGAGTGACTACATGTATGTATTTTAAACTTGTTTAATCTTTTACTGATTGTTGGGCATTTGGGTTAACTAGTTAGTTGGGTGGTTTTTTTCTTTCCTATTATTACAAATAAAGCTGATAGAAATATCTTAGTATATATAGCTACTTTTTTCTGTTAAAATATTAGAATAATAAATTTAAACTGAAATTATTAGATTAAAGGAAAGTAGGCATGATTCGTTTAATAATTTCTTACATATTTCAAGATTACCCATCATTAGGGAAATACCAATCATAACCATGGTGAGGTACCACTTCACCCCCACAAGGATGACAGTAATTGAAGAGACAGACAATAACAAATATTGGTGAGGATATGGAAAAATGGGAACCTTCATATATTGCTGGTGGGAATATAAAAGATGTAGCTGCTTTGAGGATGTTTGGCCCTCTCAAAAAGTTAAACGTAGAGTTATTGTATGACCCAGCAATTCTACTCCTAGTTTTATATCCAAGACAGATGAAAACATATGTCTACACAAAAACTTGTTCACAAATGTTCATAGCAGCATTATTTGTAATAACCAAAAGATTGAAACAACCCAAATGTCCATTGAGAGATGAATGAATAAACAAAATGTGGTGTACCCATGCAATGGAATATTATTCAGTCATTAAAAGGATGAAGTAGTGATACATGGTAAAACCCTTGAAATGTTATGCTGAAGGAAAGAAGCCAGTCACAAAGGACCACATATTGTGTGATTCTGTTTATATGAAACATACAGAATAGGCAAACCCTAGGGACAGAAAGTAGATTAGTGGTTGTCGGGGCTAATCAAAGGAGGAGAGGAATGGGGAGTGACTACTAATGGGCTTTCTTTTAGAGAGGATGAAGATGTTCTAAAATTAGATTGTGGTGATGGCTATACATCCCTGTGAATATACTAAAAAACATTGAATTGTATGCTTTAAATGGGTGAATTGTGTGGTATGTGAATTATAGCTCAATACATCTGTTTTTCAAAAAAAAATAAAATGGATAAAAAGATTACCCTTTTTAAGTTAAGATTCCTTAACCAGGATAGTTACACTTTTTCATCATCACCAGCAATACTTGGTATCCCCCCCTCACAACCTTTGGGTTTATTATTTTTGTTAAGTTTAATAGGTGTGTACCCAAAGCTTCTTTGGTTAAATTATGGGTTCTTTCATTAGAATGTAAGCTCTAGGGGGGCAGGAATTTTTGCCTGTTTCTGTTCACTGCTGTATCTCCAGAGCAGTGCCTGGCAGATAATAGGTAGTCAGTAATATTTGTTAAATGAATATATTTTTATATTTTTAGTTACTAAGTAAAGATTTTCCCATTTAGTATCTTAATTTCATGGTACATCTGAACTAATTGTTCTTCCTAGCCTCAAATTCTTTTTGGAAAGAAGCAATATATAACTAAATGAACTGAATTGAATGTACTTCTGGTGAGTGATCTGGTTTAAGTCCTTTGCCCTTATATGCTTTTACTTTCTTCTAAAATTTATTATAACAATGATTTGCAAATGTTTGACTATGTGGACTCCCTTTTTAAACCAATGTCCATATAGTTATACTTGTACTTTTTGTATCAGTCAGTGGAAAAACAACATAGTGACAAGAAGCTATTTATATTTGAACAATGATCACAATATCTTCAGAAATTTGCAAAATTGAGGTTATAATATATGAGATATATATTTATTCTATAGTCTGTACATGGTGACTCTATGTATTTTTCATAGACCCATGGCAGTAATTTTGAAAGCCACCAGGAATTTGGGGCCAGTAAGTTGGGAACTACTTAATTATAGTATCAAAACTGAAGATTACTGAAATGTAAATAATAGCTAGTACAAAAGATTATACCCTAATGATGGTTTTTTTTTAAGATATAGTTCCTAAAGCTATCAGTTTCTTTTAAAGATTGAAGAATATTTTAAAAATCAAGTTTTATGTCTTTTAAAGTTTACTTATTTGCCATTATTTGTATTAGCAAAAAATCAGAAGCCAACTAAATGTCTAGTCGTGCTTAACTAACTTTTGGTATATTTATCTGGTGGAAATTAGGCGGCAACTGAGTATGATAATTAGGCATTGTAATTCTTATTTTCCAACAATTTAAAAAGCAGGGTATATCATCAAGTATTCCTAAGCATCTTAACTGTGATTATATGAACATAACTACGATTATATCTACACAAACAGTGGCGAAAGACGGGAAGATACGGTTGTGGTTGTGTTCAGATAGAGGAATTCTGGGGAATTTTTTCCTCTTTTTGGAACGCTTACTAGCAGTTGCTGTGTACCAGGCAGTATTCTAAGCTCTTTTCTTCACTTAACTCAAGGATCACCAAACTACAATGCATTTGGCCTTTGGGGCCTATTCTTGTGTGGCCCTTGAGCTGAGAATGATTTTTATATTTTTTAAAGCATTTTTTTAAAAAAGATATGGTAGAGACCTCTTATGGCCTGCAAAGCCTAAAATTGCTACTATCTGGCCCTTTACAGAAAAAGCTTACCGACCCTTGATTTAATTCATTTTGTCCTTACAATATTCCAATAAGGTGGGTCCTAATATTATCACCCCTATTTTCTAGATGAGGAAACTGGATACAGAGGGCTTAAGTAAGTTTTTGTTGGTAATATTCACTATTTTTAGAGCAGGTTGCAGGCTCTTTCTACACACTTGCTAATACTGTGTTTCTTTGCAGTGTAAAAAGTGATAGTGGTTCACGGGTCAAAGGATGAAACGGTCACGCTCTAGATCCCCCAGGTGGAAACACAGGTGAGCAGCTCTTAGTTTAGCACGGTAAGCATGGGTTTGGGATGTTCTTGGACTTTCAAACTCACCGGGACTGTTAACCTATTTTAATAAGCTCATGGGACCTGGTTATTCACAGTAGGTGCTTTACAGTGATAGACATATTTCTAGGTTCTAGGAGCTGACAGCTTTCTTTAATTACAGCTGGCAGCTGGAATTAATCATAATAAAAAGAAATGCAGTGGCCACAGTAAGGAAGAGTGAGAAACATCTTTGAGAGTGTTGTATTTTTTTGTATCAGTAAGTGGTTTAGAACTCTTCAGTGTGTATTTTATTTTTTCATAATCATCATGTTTGAGGAAATTGGGAATTAGAAAATTGGAAGTTTCCTACTTCTTCTTCATAGCAGAATAATAAAATTTTGTTTGTTTCGAGGGGGAGGTAATTATGTTTATTTATTTATTTAAATGGAGGTACTGGGGATTGAACCCAGGACCTCATGCATGCTAGGCACGCACTCTACCACTGAGCTATACCTTACCCCCAATTTTTATTTTATTTTATTTTTTTAA